ACATTAAACTGGATTCAACAGTTTGGAAAAAGCACTGAATGTTTAAACAGATAAAAAATATAGACGATTAAGAAGCACATTATAACCCATTTCCATGTGCATTTTGCACATTTTTATGAAGAGACTGTGATGACTCTATTTCCTCTGTTTCTAAATATACTATCTATTAGTGTTAACAGTGTGTTAATCATTATCCCAAAATGTGATAAGATGTTAGTTCCTCTCTTTTATTGAGTGGAAACAGTTGTTTACCTACTGGTTCTACTAAGGAACAGAATGATCTTTTCAATGCATTTGTAAGCATCAAGGTAAATATTAGTGAACAAACATTTAGTTTTTTAATGCTGGAGAACATGAGTGATAATAGGAGTCAATAGGGGTCTTTCTGGCATATCTACTATATGCAAGGTGTTAATCAGTGAACTTCTAATCTCTACTGTTTAGTACAAGGATTATATTTTAGTCAAAAAGTATCAGACTAACCTACAATACCAGCAGCACAGGAGACAAAAAAAGTACCATTTAGCAAAGTCTTAAAAAATCCACATCGCATACAATGAACGATAAATCAACATGAGTAAAACTGAAAATAGTTTGGAGCGGGATGATTTTGCTAAGAAAAAAAATGGGCCACACGGTAAGAGATAAGTACCTCTTCCCTGCCCATCTCTGAATTCTGATCCAGATGGCAACTTCCTGCAATCTGCTTTGGATTTAAAAAACACAAAGCAAAACTCTTCAATAAAAACATCCACTTGACTCAGTATCATCTTGGACTCTATGGTCCCATGATGCTCAACTCAACACGGTGATAATGGTAAGGGGTTCACTCTACCAAAGTTACATAGGAAGTGGATCACATATGGCCATCCCAGGATGTGCCCCAAAGGATGAAGAATCAAAGGAAATTAAGAGCAACCCAGTGCTAGTCTCCCTTGGTTGTGGGGATGAGAGGAACGGGATCCTTGGGAAAGACAAAAGTCAACAAGATCTTTGCAGCTTGCTGGGATCAGGTGTTGTTTTAGTGATAATAAGCAGTGAAAGCTATATATATATATATATATATATATAGGGAGAAGTGCTGACCTGAGGGTTTGCTTTCATTGTCAGAGATAACTTAAAACAGATCCAGAGATTGTGAATATATAAAATCAGACTTACTTTGGGCTTGCTTAAAAATGGAGAGAATCTCAGAGCCACACACATTTTCCAGAAGTAAAACGGGACTGTAGCAAGATGCCTCTGCTTCATCACCTTGAACTGTCTGCAACAGTGACTTTATCCATGATAATGAAAAATTCAGTGGTCTCAGAAACTGACATGGTTATCTCAAATTAAGTGGTATAACATACAACAGTCAAGCATATGGAAAAGGCAATCAAGTGGAAATCTGTTATCAGGTATTCCAAGAATTAATCATAGAGACTTTTCAAATTCTTTCCCAAATGTTAATAAGCACACTTGTAATATATATAAAAAATAGTGTTAGCTGAACAAAGACAGATATGATCATAGCAAGTTGTACTCTGGATCTAAATTCGGTGTGGGGGTTGAAATGAAGCCAGGAGTTCCTTCAAAGTGTATTAAAAAATGGCAAAGCAGCAAAGAATATATAAAATGGCTAAGCTTACCCACTATTAAAAATGTTATAGTGAGCTAATGGCATTTATTATAAGTGAAGTGTACAATAAAACTGTTAGAAAGTGCATATTTGCAATGTTGATCTAAGGTGCGGGGGCCTCCATAAACACGCTGCCCTGCTGTGTGTGTTGCTATTCTTAGACAATATAGCAATATATTATAACCCGAATCACCATTTGAGAGCAACCCAGGCGTGAATCCTAAAAGCACCTTAAACTGTTGCAAGAAATATTCGGCAAACACTGTAAACATCATCAACCCCGTCATTTGGCAAACAAGAAAATAGGAGCAAGCTGTATAAATTGGCCTGTGGTCTTGGCTCCTGTCTTCAGAAGTCCCGTCCTTTTCTTCCCTGCTCTGATTAGTCAGATACTGTTTCGACAAGATGAAGGCTGCGGTGCAAGGGATGCTTTTGCTCTCTCTCTTTATGGCCATTTCTGAAGTAGCAGCTGAAAGAAGACTCTGCGGAAGGGACCTTGTAAGAGCTGTCGTCTTTACTTGCGGAGGGTCTCGCTGGAGGAGGCAGCTGACTCACTTTCCAAAAAGTCTCACAGGTAACAATTTGGATTATACGTGGTCCAAATGCACACGGAATGTTTTTGCATGCAAAAGCCAGGGTTAGTGGATTTTCTTTATTTTTTAAAACGGTCTATGCCACACTCCAACAGAAATATTAGGGTGGCCTACATAACTTAAGAAACAAAACAAAAACCCTGATCTATAATGACAAAGCAATTAAGTTTAAAACAGTAGGTAAAAACTGCCATGAACAGAATTACACTTTCATAATTAGGTGATAAAAGTCATTGGTGCTGAAAATATAAAGTAAGGTGTCAGTCAAACCTCGTAGGATAAGAGTTCCATAAATGAGGTGGTGACTGGTGACAACAGAGAGAAGGCCTGTGCCCCACTTCGGATGGTGGGGGGCACCTGGAATATTATCTTAGTGAATAAGCAGGGGTGTGTGGAGGCAAAAATCCCCACAGGTGCCCATGTCCCAAGCCATGCAGGGCTTTAAAGATAAGCAACAGGATCCTGTATAGTGCTTAGAAACAGCACAAATATTTATAATATAGTAATAAGCAATCTCATTTGGGGTTTGTACACAAGTATTTAATTCTGGAAAACTGAGGTTTATTCCTGTGTCTAAGATATACATGAATAGCTTTGCTGTTATTTAGGTTCAATTTTTTTATAAAAACAGTTTTGAAATAGTTTTTTAACAAGTATATCCTGGTACTGAGATGGTAACTGTCGAATCCTACAGAAGTCAAGCTGATTGGTTTTTGTATCTGTGGCCTTGGAAATGAAAATCCTATCTGGATATAGGAAAATATAGTTGAGGAGAAGCTGATCCATCACTTCCTCTTTCTTCACATATCTTGTTTTTCAACAGAACTAGGACAATCCTAGTGATAGGCATCAATTGTGAAATTTAACTGTATGTCAAGTTTTCTTAGGATTGCATTTCCCAGTGTAGGCTGTAAATATTTCAGACCCAAATTAAAATAAATAGATTGGGCAACATCAAAGTTGCCTTGATCACTGGACTGCCTGAAGTTCAACATCCAAAGTTTATTTGAGTTTATCTCCAGATTTCTTATTTTTTATCATTTGCACGCAACAGGTCAAGAAAGCCACTTGAATTCACCACTTGACACTAATGACTCAACGGGTGCCAATGAAAAGGTGATCCAAAAGCCAGAATACCTAAGCAAAGAATTCATCCAGTCCAGTTCTGAAGCTGAAGGAGATTTGTGGGGCATGGAACAAAAGTCTATACACAAAAGGAATGAAGATATTATGCGACTCATAGACCTTTGCTGTCTGGTCGGCTGTAGCGACAGCACTGTAAGTTCACTGTGCTGAAAATGTATCAGACAGTGGCATGCATGCTATTTCATAGCTAACAATACATCAGAAACATCTTGAAATAGGTATTTTTGATATCCTACTTTGTAGTTCCGAGCTCTGAAGTACTTCCTAAGTGCCATTCCATTTGGGATACTGTACAAATTGAGAAACGGTCTTTTAACATCTGTATTTCAAACAGCTCTCTTTTTTGTAGTTCCTGCTTTCACAATAAATTTGCAGCTCGCAACATGGCTTTTGCTGTTTCTTCTTGCCAGTGCAGTGCTAGGCTTGGAATTAAAAGAGACACCAAAAACCCTCTGACACTGAATAAGTTCTGTTTACTCAGGCAGTCTTAAGAGAAAATACCAGTTTCTCGATAAGGGACCTGTACCTTAAGTGACAGATCACATGCAAAGCATCCCAGGTTCAATTCCTCTCATCTCCAGGTAGAAATACCGTATTTTTCGCTCCATAGGGCGCACCTGACCATAGGGCGCACCTAGTTTTTAGAGGAGGAAAATACGGAAAAAAATATTCTGAATCAAATGTTGCACTAAACTAAAGCAGCAAAGCGGGTGGCTCCTGTCCGCTTTGCTGCTTTAAACTGAGCCTCAGAGGAGGGTAGGAAGGGGAACCATGGCTTATCTAAGTCCAGTTAATAATGCTGAGCCTGACTTATGGCCCTCGAGATTAGCCTGGCCATCTCAGTGGAAATCTGGGGAGGCTAGGGTGGACTTTCAGTGGTCAAAGTGTGGTTGTGTCTTCCTGCCCGGCATCTATTTCCTGCCCTCTTTCCCTCCTGCACCTCCGCACCCTGCTTCGAGGGAAGGAAGCGGAGCCATGGATCCTCTGCTCGCAACTGCAGTGGATCCCTCCACTTTGAAGCCGGAAAGTGGGAGAGGAGCTGCTCACATGAGTGTAAGCTGCTCCTCCCGCTTGCTGCTTCAAAGGGAGCCCAGGAAGAGGGAATCTGCTGCAGCCGCAAGCAGTGGAGGATCCATGGTCCCCTTCCTTCCCTCCTCCGTAGTTGCTTTGAAGGAGGAAAGTGGGAGAGGAGCTGCTTACATGAGTGTAAGCTGCTCCCCTCCCGCTTTGCTGCTTCAAAGCAATCACGGAGGAGGAATCCGCTGCAGCCGTGAGCAGCGGAGGATCCATGGTCCCCTTCCTTCCCTCCTCCGTAGTTGCTTTGAAGCAGGAAAGTGGGAGAGGAGCTGCTTACACGAGTGTAAGCTGCTCCCCTCCCACATTGCCGCTTCAAAGGGAGCCTGGGAGGAGGGAATCTGCTGCAGCTTCCCCCACCTCCCGCAGAAGCCGCACGCTCTTTAAAGGGGCTGCGCGGCTTCTCCTGGCTTTTCTGGGAGGTGGGGGGATTTCCCCACCTCGTAGAAAAGCCTGCAGGAGCCGCACAGCCTTTAAAGAGGGCACCGCTCTTGGGGGCTTTTCCCCCAGGAGGGAGAAGGGACAGATGCGGCCAGTCAGTCCCTTCTCCCTCCTGGAGAAAAGCCCGCAAGAGCGCACGGCTTGTGTGCGGCTCTTGAGGGCTTTACCCGCCTGCCTCCCCTGCATTCGCTCCATAGGACCACACACATTTTCCCTTGCTTTTTAGGAGGGAAAAACTGCGTC